GGATTACCCAGCAGACTGACATTTAGGGCACTGGGCCAAATAATATAGAATGTGGATTTGAAAATAGGGTTTCCCCTTTCTAGGTGACTGTCCTAGCCACTTGGCTCCTGAGTGCAAGGGGTTCCTACCTCCACAGAGGATTCATAGGTAGATGAGGGTCTTGAATGCTAGCTACCTAGTTGGGTAGCTGTTAGGAAATGCAAAGGAGAGGGCCAAGCCCATTCAGCCAGCTTAGGTGGCTATCTGATTGGTTTGGAATCCAATTCCTAAGAAACTCCTCTCCTCATGGAAGAAGCCTGGTCACCTAACCTGGGTTGTAAATTCTACTGAGCAGCAAGCCAAGACTGTGCTAGGTGGTGTGACACTAGTTCCTTTTGTGGATTTAGGCCCAAATCCCTTTATCTACCTGGCTTCCAAAAGCCTAAACTTCTTAGCTTCCTCTCTCTGATCTGCAATAGAGGAGCACTTCCTGCAGCAGTGTTCCAAGCAGCAGGCTGGAGACCTATACGTTCTGGCTGTAGACTTTAAATGTCATCTGTCTCAGGCTTTCTTTGGTAACCTACAAGTTACAAGAGTGTTAGGGGCTAATGAATGCAGACGTTCTGTTATGACACCAAGGTGGTTTTAATCAGCACTAGAACTTTAGATCCACAAAAAGGCAGTAAAATCTTTGTCTAAACTTCTTTGTGTTTGGTTCATTCAAGTTTGGGGCTGAAATCTGGGCCATTTCTTTTTTAATCTGAACTAATGCTCCTATGTTACTAATGTGCATCAGCAGTCTCCACCAGTTCACCTTACAGAATCATTGATACAAGCTGACACATTTGTCAGTCTTCTCTCCCTTTGCCTTTTACCTGTTTGGCTTCCTTCTTTCATCTCATAGTTGTCCAACCCCTTTCCCCCATTTCTTCATGGCTCAAGTTATATTAAATGCATTTGCCAGTAACATGTCATGGGGCCCCATCTGCTGGTAAAACACTATTATGACACATCCAGTTTGCACTCTAGTCAAATTACTACACTTATTTTCAAACTAGCCAAGGTACCTGGCTTCGCACAGGTTGCAGTAATTAAGTTTTATTTTTTTATAAATAAAATATTTTCATTTTATCTTATTTCCCACTACTAATAAACTGCGTGTATGTGTTCACATTTTTCTATCCCAGTTTATGACGGTGTTTGACACTTTTTTAAATCCGTGTAGAGCTGCAGGATAGACAATGTTGCATATTTTGCCATCTGGTGCCAAGATGAAAAGGTTTTTGCCATTGCCAACTCTGGAACAACCAACATAGAGTTGGCCACGAGAAAAGCATGGGCTTTGCAGGTTGAGGCCAACAACTTTGAATGATTGTCCCTGTGCCTTATTGATGCTCATGGCAAAACTGAGACAGATCGGGAACTGGAGTCATTTAAATTGAAATGGCAGGTCAGAGGGAATGATTGGAATGCGTGGAATGAAGACATCCAGTCCCGCTACATGGCCAGTCATGATGGTGGCTTCAACGACATGTGGCATGAGCTTCTTGACAGCCAATCGTGTTCCATTGCAGAGTGCTGGTGGGTCCAGATTCCTGCGAAGAATGATGGGTGCACCAATCTTGAGTTTCAGATTGTGTGAAGGCACACCTGGTGGTTCGAGAGAGTTGAGAAATTCTGTTGGGTAGCTGACTGCCTCATTGGTGTCTGGGACAGTGTCCACAGCCTTGTATTTTTGCACAGTGCCAGGCAATTGAGAAAGAAGGTCTTTGTTTACAGTATTGACTGCATCATTTTTTGGTGCCGGGATGGGTCTTTGGCATAGCCATTTCTGGTCATGAAAGTGATGTGCAACATTTGGAAAAACTGCCTCTTTCAGTTCTTGAAGTGTTGCAACTGTTTTCCCAATGTTGTTCATTGAGATAGAATTATCCTGATTCTCAGATACCATGGTCCCATTTCCCAGTTTGAGCAGGCTTGCAGCAAACTCTCCAGCAGATGCATCACCTGTTAAATGCACTCACATGTTGGTCATGAGGCTGAGTTGCTGAATGTTTTTCCAAATGTATGAAGCTTTGAGGCAGGCCTGCAGTTCATCAACTTTGGTTCCATGTGGAAGGACCAGCAGTGTCTGTCGAAAATCCCCACCCAACACCAGAGTCACTCCTCCCATTGTTTTGTCATTATGTCAAAGATCTTGGAAGGTGCAATCAAGAGTCTTTAAGGCAGCTTTGTGAGACATTGTGCATTCATCCCAGACAATGAGCTGACACTCCTGCAGGACCTTTGCTTTGCCGGTACCCCTGGCAATGTTGCAGGTTGGTGCCTCTGCACTTGCCAGATTTAAGGGCAACTTGAAGGCTGAGTGAGCTGTTCTTTCTCCTGTCAACAGTGTGGCAGCAATGCCTGATGATGATGATGCTACTGCAAGGGCAATCCTGATGCAAAATATCCTATGCCAGATTCTCCTTGTGGTTGTCCCATAGTTGTTGAGGATTTGATATGGCACATGTCTGCAGCATGATGGCAAACAGGTTTTGCAGCATTCCTGGTGACTGAGTTGCAGCTGCCTCTTCTAATGTGCTGTTCCAGTGTGTATCATCTTCCAGGAGTCCTCTGAGTTGGCAAGTCTGTTTCTAAGTTTCACAGATCGTAGCATCCACTGTTTGCAAGTCCTCAGATGATGTTGGAGCTGTGACTTCATGCAGAAGCAGTCTCAGGTAAAAGCATTCAAAATTGTTTGGATGTACAGTGTACACACGGCCAAGTGCATCACTGGCTTTGATGTCTGGCTGGTCTGGCATATTTTGTCCTGCTTTGCAGCTTGCCCGGTTCTTGGTGCCAACAGTACCTAGGTACTTGAAGATACAGCAGTCTCTGAGCAAATTCATCATCCCTGCAGAGACTGAAGAAAGCAGTGAGAGTTGTGTCTTGCGGAACTTGGGTGTGCTCATGTGCATTTCCTCAGTAAACTACACTCTTTGGCCATTCTCAAGGTGCACACTGAGATGAAGCACTGTGGGATGTCGTTCATGAATTGGGAAGTACAGCATCCTCCAGATGACTTCACTGGTGCTCATGTATCTCCCCAATTCATATTGCTGAGCCTCACCATGCACAGTCCCATCCCTTGTGAAGCCAAACACAGCCATGTCACAGATCCTTTGTTGACATACTTGCAGACATATTTGATCGATTTCACAGAGTGGCAGTACTCAGCATTAATGTGTGCATTGAAGAGTCGTGAGAGGAGTGGACAGTATGGAACAATCCATCTGTTGTCAACTTGAACCTCAGAACTATGAACTTTGATGGTTGTTGTGAATCCACCATCTTCTGGTTTTCTCCAGTGATACAGTGGGTATCCATCTTGTCCAGTCTGTGTCTCTTTCAGAAGATCGCGTGGGAACCTTTTTGTGCATTTATTATCTTTCATGCATGGTGAGTTTGGATTGATGCTTCCACAGGGACCATCTGTGTTTTGACAATGCTGAACAGAAGTGGATAAATTTCTGGATCTGGAAGTTCAGCACTGATGATGTCATCCACTCTGTGGACATGAAGCTCACCCTGAAGCCACAGCAGAATGTGGACATGTGGCAGGCCACACTTTTGGTACTCAATTGTGTACATGTAGCACTGAATGGCTACAAAAATCTTTCCCGTGTTGATGAGATTCATTAATGCTTTCACTTTGTTGGAATACTCTTGCCAGCAAATCATGCTGATCCTGTGGGTTTTGGCCTGGCATCAGTTCATTAGCCACTTTTGCCCAAGCTGGGTTGCAGGTGAAGGTAATGAAGATATCAGGGCAGCCATAGTTTCACACATATGTCATGGCATCCTAAGTGTACTCATGCATGTAGCAAGGGCCACCTGTGAAACTGAAAGGCAAGATGACCAATTGGCCAACATTAGCAGCATCTCCATCATTGTTCATGGCATCCCTGAGGTTCTTTTGGTTCATTCGAATGAATCTCAACCTTTCTGCTTCAATTTTGGCATACATGTCCACAGCAAATTGGTGGAAGAGATCTTTGCATCACAAGATGTGACTGAAACTTCTAGCTTGCAGCATCATCCTGTAGGCATAAAAGTCCATGGCAGAAATCTTTTGAGTTGGCAGTCCT